AGAAAGTCGTTAAGATTACCTTGTTCTAGTTGCTTTAGTTTCCGTGCTGTAATGGTGGCGATATGTGTTCCAGAAAGTCGTTAAGATTACCTTGTTCTAGTTGCTTTAGTTTCTGTGTTGTAATGGTGGCGATATGTGTTCCAGAAAGTCGTTAAGATTACCTTGTTCTAGTTGCTTTAGTTTCTGTGTTGTAATGGTGGCGATATGTGTTCCAGAAAGTCGTTAAGATTACCTTGTTCTAGTTGCTTTAGTTTCTGTGCTGTAATGGTGGCGATATGTGTTCCAGAAAGTCGTTAAGATTACCTTGTTCTAGTTGCTTTAGTTTCTGTGTTGTAATGGTGGAGATATGTGTTCCAGAAAGTCGTTAAGATTACCTTGTTCTAGTTGCTTTAGTTTCCGTGCTGTAATGGTGGCGATATGTGGTTCAGAAAGTCATTAAGATTACCTTGTTCTAGTTGCTCCGCTCTTGTTTTTTGTTGTTGTTGTTGTTCTCTATAGTAGATGAGACCTCTTCTGCCTGAGAATGAGTATTGCAGTAATGTACAATAATATACAACATCCGGGTTAAAAGGATTGGCACTATAATATCTTTTGCTGGCCAATTATGACGTTATTAAATGTAACAATCAACCAAAGTTGTAAAGGAACAAAGGTTACGAGGTGACGCTGTTGACTAGATAAAGAAAACGTGTTTACCTGTTGAATTCAGGAGCAATTTTTCTGTTCAGTTCTGCCTGGTTTTGATCGTGACAAGTTCTGTAGAGATTCATCTCGAGAGACAGAAAAGTTGACGAGCTAGCTATTCACTGATCCAGTAGAGGCGATCGTCCACTTGCCTACGTAGGCACGCATATTGTTTTATGTGTGTTTTTCAAAATAAAAATTGTTTTCACTGTCCTTTAAATGTGTCTAACCTGTTTATTTCTCACACAACTTAAAATCCACTCAAATTATCAAATATAAAACACTCCCCTTATTTGTTGATCGAATCTACTGTTATTTACTGGTTTGCCTATTTGATATTTATAGTGAATATAAATCATATTAAACTGCATTATATTCAGCGAGTGAGTTGAAACAATAACCTTGTTCAGAAATTCTAGCAACTCACAAATTTATGCATATTTAAAATCTTAATACAAAATCGAATAAAAGCTGAAACTTCGACTGAAGGTTGTTTGTTTGTTTTTGTTCATTAGATTCCACCAGCTCGGAATCTACTATCGGTTTATACATAATATAATCCTGTGCCTGCGAAACATAGGTGAAAGTAAAGACCTGATTACAGTACGTTTTGAACTTAGCTGAGATTTGCGGAATACTAATCCTTGAATGTACGCCCGAAGCACTGTTGTCTTGATAGCTCACATTTGGCCTGGGTTTACCATTCAAAGCACTGTCTTGCTGATTAATGATCTTTATCAAACCGTGTGATAAATTATACAAAGCTATTCAACGCTGCATGTGTTTCATATGCCTTTGGATAGAGAAGAGCAGTGAAGATTGATATTACATGCAAATCTGAAACGTCTAAAAACAGAGTTTATAAGTAAGAACATTGTGCAAGATAAAAATATACCTGTGTAGAGCGTTTGAGAGAGAAGTAAACTTATAAATTTTCAAGCTAGTTGAAATGTTTCGGACTGGAAAAGTTAATAAGTTTTGGATTCGATACTTTTGTTCACGCATATAAAGTCTGTATATATGAGTTGCAGTGACAAAATGGCGGTCATCAAGGCTAGGCTATTTAGGTTCAATAACCTCTATAATATGTAGTAAGTGGGTCAAGCCACTTTGTATTGCTTCTCAGCTTTTACGAACATATACTTTCAAGCATGATTACATTGATTTACTTTAGATTCAATATAAGTATCAGAGGTGTCGGAACTGGGAGTGCTGTAGCACCCCCACTTTGCACCTCCTTCCTACATCACTGTACTGCTACGTATGTCTAATTCTTCATGTTAATACAAGTTCAAGAAATAATGTATAAATAATTTCAATATGTCAAGAAGTTTTATTCCTTAGTAGGATCCCTTCCACAGAGGCTCATCGATAAGTTTGAGGGCTTCTAACGCCAAAATTCGGTGTAATATCCTTACGATAGGTATAGTTTAGATAGCCATTGTTGCAGTTTCCCACTTAAAATAGCACTTAGACCAGCGCAGGACTCTTCGTTAGAGTAATTTAAATAAATTAGTGAACGGGTATGCTTTTGTATTTTATTTTATTTTTGCCCCCAGTGGCTCAGCGGTAAGTTTGAGGGCTTCTAACGC